GAGAGACACAACTTGTTTGTGATCTCCGTGTACGCTTCAACTGACTGCAGTGGCGACTCGGTCAAGGACGAATTCTACCGAGATCTACATCAGCACTTGACTAATGCTAAAAAGTCGGATGTCGTTATCCTTGCTGGGGACTTTAATGCACGGGTTGGCCGCCTGTTACCATACGAACGCCACCTTAGTGATCATCACGCGCTCGATGAGAACCGCTCTGATAACGGAGAGAGACTTCTCAAATTGTGCGAAGACAACCGTCTGTTTCTTTCGAGCACTAACTTCAGGTGTACGAAGAAGCGTTCCGCAAGTGGCGTCCCCCTTTGCCAACACAACCTTGGTCTCAAATTGATCACATTGCGATTAGCTTCAGATGGCGCGGCAGCGTACTGGACTGCAGGTCCATTTGGTCCACCTTCGTTGATTCAGATCATGCTCTGGTCTGCGCGAAAATCTGTATGTGTTTTGGAGGATTCCGAAACACGAAGCACCGCAAGATTGATGTGAACAGATTAACTGATTCCTCTGTCCAGGAGAGCTATCAGTCTTCACTGGCATATGCACTCAGTTGCAATCCACCGCAAGAAGTGGAACAACACTGGACTTGTATTCGGAAAGCGCTGACCTTTTCCGGACAGTCATGCTGCGGTCTAACTCGACGCCCTTTGAAGTCTTGGATCTCTGCTCGTTCTCTGGAGCTCTTTGAACGCCGCAAAGATATCTCCGCGGAACCAGATTGCAACGAGTGGCACCGTTCTACCAACCGGCTGCTTAAGCAAAGCCTACGCAAGGATCGCGAGACATGGTGGTCTGAGCGTGCTTTAGAGATGGAGACTGCTGCCCTGTCCGGTAACACTCGCAGGCTTTTCCAACTCATTCGGTCCACTAGCCTCAGAAAGCCTGGTGTCAGTGGGGTCATTTGTGAGGTGGATGAGTCTCCGATCACCAACCAACAGAGGCATATGGACCGCTGGGCCAAGCACTTTCACTCGCAGTTCAACTGGCCTCCACCATCCATCAGTACATACAGTACACCTTGCTGTCCACCCTGGCTCGTCCCATTGAATCCACCCAGCGAAGCGGAAGTCTGCCTCGAGATTCGACGCTTGAAGCGCTTCAAGGCTGCCGGCTTAGACGGACTTCCTCCGGAGCTATTCAAGTATGGCGGTGTGGCAGTTATTAACCTACTAACCGCGCTGTTCGCAAAAATTTGGCATGAAGAGAAAGTGCCTTCCTCTTGGGGCGAATCAGTTATTGTCACAATTTTCAAGAAAGGCGCTCGCACTTCATGTGCAAATCATCGCGGCATTAGTCTTATTTCGGTTGGCTCTAAGCTGTTGGCATCCATACCGCTTCGCAGACTATCCCCAGTACGTGAATCATACTACCATGAAAAACAAGCTGGTTTCCGTCCTGGCCGCGGATGCGTGGATCAAATCTTCACGCTCCGCCAACTCCTTGAACATCGCCACATTTATCACAGGCCCACTATCGTTGCATTCCTTGACATACGTGCCGCCTTTGACTTCGTTGATCGACCTGCTTTATGGCGTTGCTTACTAAAGAACGGGGTGCCAGAGAAATATACCGCCATCTTACGAGCACTTTACCTTCATACATGCGGCAGAGTGAGGGTCTATGGCAAGCTTTCCTCGCAATTCGCTGTCAATAGCGGTGTGCGACAGGGCTGCCCTATGTCCCCATTCCTCTTCAACTTCGCAATCGAAGACGTTCCGTCGAATGCCCTAGAAGGTTTCCAACATTTTGGCCTAGAGCTTCTACCGGGTGAACGCGCGACCGACTTAGATTATGCTGATGATATCGCCGTACTGGGTGACGATCCTCAGGGTATGAAACTCATTCGGGATCGTTTGGCGGTTGAAGCATCTAAGTATGGCATGAGCTTCGCCCCATCGAAGTATAAAGTACTGCTCAAGGATTGGCTTTCACCTGCACCCGCGCTCACTCTCCAAGGTGCACAACTTGAACAGGTAGATAGTTTCGTCTACATTGGGAGCTGTGTTTCCGCTGACGGCACTATCAACAAAGAAGTTTCGCTTCGTATCGCTAAAGCTCGATCAGCATTTGTCAATCTGAGGCACTTGTGGCGTCGTCGCGACGTCTCATTCTCACCAAAGGGCCGAGTTTACAGCGCGTCAGTTCGCTCAGTATTGTTGTATGGGAGCGAGTCCTGGCCGATTCGCGTGGAAGACATGCGTCGTCTTTCTGCCTTCGATAACGGTTGCTTAAGGAGGATCGCTCGTGTTCGGTGGCAACATCGAGTTACCAGTAATGACGTTCGACGTCGCGTCTTGGGGAATGCAAGTATTTCCTTCAACAAACTGGTTTTGTTACGCCAGTTAAGATGGCTCGGTCATGTCCTACGCATGGCACCTGAGCGTCTACCGCGTCGCGCTCTATTCGCTCGTCAAGGACCTGGCTGGAAGCGACCGCGTGGTGGTCAGCCTTCCACTTGGCGGCAGCACATGAAATCGCTGACGTATTGTCTAGCCGCTGTTGGACCCGTACGTCTTCCAGGATGGGGACCCAAAAAATGAGGAGTGCCAATGGCTTAGGACTCTTGAAGACATGGCCCGCAACCGGAATCAGTGGAAGAATTGTGTACAGTGTTGTATTGATTCACATGTTTAATACTACCAACGTTGAAAATGACAAAAAAGAGAAAAATCGGCGTGTGACAAACAAACTAAAAATGTTTTGTTCTGTATTTTTGTCAAAATATTCCATTTTCTTGCGGCATATTAGCTGAAGTGTGTTGCCCACCTTCAACTAGCATGCCACGACGATTATGACGCAATGACTGTCTCTTATCTACTGATTTCCATGGCTTTGTTGGCTCTATGTCTAGTTACTAGACTGCTGAGAATACATGGTTGGCGGCATCCGGTTTCGGGTTTGCCTGTCACTGTGGCAAGCCACAGGACGCCTGCGCCTACAGAGGGACCATGGATGGCTTGCGCTGCACCACCCACAGGTCCATCCACACACCCCATATCCAGTGTAAAACCGAAGGAATAAGACCGGGAGGCATGCGGATGGGAACCACGTTTTATCAACGGAGCCGGCCCACACTCCTTCACAGGCAAACACAAGCACACTGTATTTGGGAATCAAGCGCACACAAGGCGGTGGCTGGACCGTAGTCCGCTCCACACTGACTGCATGGAACCACTCTTCGAGCCTAACACGGCCACAAGAACCGTGCATCCTGTCCCCTCTAGCAACGATCAACTGTCTCCTGGAGCCAGTATGGACGAGGTAGTGGGTAATAGACAGGTAGGCACCTTGTCAACATGCACATCAAGCGCATCCACACCGGGGATTTCAAACAACAGCCAAACACTTGAGAGAGAGAAAGAGGAAGAAAAAGAGAAAAACTCGATTAATGCATAAGGAAACGGTGATATAAACCTTAATTAAATAGCATATGTAATAAGTTGTTTACAAACAAATCCTAGCTAAGTGCACGAGGTCAGGAAGTATAGTACACGGAATGCCACGAACACAAATATGCTACGGAAATCGAATACAATTGGCTTAGGCGAGGTGTGCAAGTTAATGGAATAGAGTACTGGTAGACATTTATATGAGAAAGAAAAGCATTAAGGCACAAAGTGTAAACCCACCACCTGAAATAAAGAGACTTGGTATGCAAGCACGCGGTTAGTAAATCGAATTCAGCGTGCCTACAAACGCTGCGCCGGCTCGCCGTAATTCTCTGCAGGATCCGTCGTCGCTTCTGTAGTGGCCCCAAAGGACCTAGCTCATGGCCCACTAGACATTTATATGAGAAAGATGAGAATACATACATACATACGAAGAGTTGCGCAAACCGTCGCACCATGTTAAGGTCCTGTCTAGTTGCGGTGGCATCGTACGCCAATAAGGTTACGAAAGTAGCGATGATCAAATACAGACATTTTCTGCTTATCTTTTGTGTGAATAGGTTGTTTTGTAACCATAGAACAATACCGCTCTCACCGCAGCACTCGGCACTTCTGAAAGAGGCTCAGGTCACGTCGACGCCAGAGATGGCGAGATTAGTAAAAGCAACCTGAGTCTTAGAGATGCGTAGAGACCTCAGTCATTAAACCGTTGGTACCGGTGCAGCTTCCGAGGTAGACGAACCTGTACACTGCCATAAAAGTATAATCCGAAATGGCGAGGGACATCTCATGACCAGTACTGCAGGAAGATTTTTCACTTCAATGGGGCGAAGATCGTTCTGAATTGGGAGACAGACACCTCCAACCTACGCACTACCTTTCAGACGGCCTGCAAGGTGTCGAAAATTACGGTGATGTAGTCTGAATACTCCATCGCGAAGTTGATTCCCCGGAAGTAACTCAACGCCACTGGGTTCGGGATCATCCAGAACACTTTCTAGGATGCTGTCCATAGCGAAGTTAAACACAGCACCGAACACCGTCGCTGCAAACGGCCTGACTTTGCTAAGCCTTCTATCCCAAATGTCCTGACTGTATTTTAGGACGTTTTGGCCTCAAACCTCAACAGTGCTCTGTACTCGGGCATTAACGTGCACTAGGCGCATATGTGCAGGATCATGCATAATTCCGCGACCTTGGTCTGTGATTTCACCATTGGATATCCGCACGAAGCTGTCTTACGGATCCCGATGTCGAACCGGAGGGTGTTCTTTAATTGTGTTGGAGTGCACAGAACAAAAGACACCAAACTAGGAAGTGTATTGAACAAAAGAAAGAACCAACAAATGAGATTCGGGGCCACTACCACAGCTTATGTGGTTGAGAGCACGTTTGGTTATATACGACAGTAGAAGTTCAAATTGGTTTAAGTTTTACGGAATAAACGATAAGAACCATGTGTTCTTACCACAAAAACAGGGGGGATGAATTATAGGAACACGTTAGTCCGATACACGTACATGGTTACTTCTAGTCAATCGCGCAATCGCTTGTTGCACAGCACATGTTGTTCCGATTTCTTTGCGCCGTTACAAAGTCCCGCTACATCCGATGGCGCCGGATGTTTCACGGTTATGGGCATACTTTGATTCGGGTAAGATTAGCACTAATCATAACACCAATATATACGCAGAATATCCGCATTAAATGTGTGAAGCGTACAATTCCATACCATGCAAGTGGGACGTACTCAGATGACGAAGGAGAGCAGGGGAAAGTCCTCGCCATAGTTGCGAAATACCCTCGTTCCTGATGATACTGAAGCCTAAGTTGACAACACCAGGATGAGACACTCGTTTCAACTCGCCGAAGACTTGTATACGAGTTTTCAGCATGTCAAGGGGATATGTCACTGAAAAGTTACAAATATTCAATAGATACTCTAACCTGTTTCGGCAACCATGGCAGCTGTACAACAGATACACAAGATGCGGGGAGAAATGCCCCACTGAAAGCTTCTGGGGTTGGATAAAGTATTATCGCTCTCCTCCATGGGACGAAACAGCTGGGTCAAGTGGTCTACAAATAAGCAGTAAATCCTGTTTAATACTGTCTAATTTAACTTGTAGTGGGTAGAGAACGAAATCAGAAAGGAAAAAAGAACATGACATAAAAATAAGGTGTTACTCCAGCGACCACTCATGCTAAGTTAAATAAAAATTATTTTTGCACGTTCTGACCCTAGTTACTTCATGAGCTCAGTTATATAAAGTAAACATCATCCGGGTACCTAAGCTCGTTGGGTTCGGTTTGCATGAGTATTGGTGCTATATATCAATAAAATGATGAGGAATTTGGAGGGAAAGCGAATGCCACAGATATATGAAAAGGGTAAAAGAGAAGAAACGCTACAACCGTCAGATGAAAAGGCTCAAGACGTCACACTGAGTACAAAAGTATCACTGGCTACATTACTGTGCCACGCCTAAGCGATTTTGAGCACTGACATTACCGTTGACACTTGATAAGGAGGAACTCGAGGTAGTTGATCGATTCACTTACCTTGGCAGCTGCATCAGAAAGGATGGGCGCACAGAAACGGGTCAGTTCACGCACTGCAAAAGCTAGAACTGGCTCTTTGAAGCTGCGTCAGAAGTGGGTATCCTTCCGTCTAAAAGGCCGTGTTTACAAGGCCACAGTGAGCGCCGTCCTACTCTATGGGAGTGAGACTTAGCCACATCGGCCTGAGGATCTGAGGTGCTTTCAAGTCTTTGATCATCGTTGTCTGCGAAGCACTGTTGATGTCAGGTGGCACCAGCGTGACCGCAACGATGATGCGCGTAGGCGAGTATCAGACAGTGATAATCAAACTAATTCTTTAGAACAACAGATGGCGTTGGCCTTGGCAAGTACTACGTATGCCTGATCACCGCTTATCGAAGAGATCGTAATTTAGTCTGCCAGATGTAGGGTGGCACAAGACTCGAGGTGGACCAAGGTAGACTTGGCAGTGAGAAATGAAATCACTGACGGTCAATCTCGGTGCCGCCGGTCCGTCTCGCCTTCCAATCTGGAGTCCACGTGACCCGCCTTGGGTTTAGCTCGAGAAGTTACAAGACATGGCTCGTAGTCGACACCAGTGGCGCAACTGCTGCCGTCGCATTGTCGGACTGCCTATTTAAAGTGTGTTTGGTGCTGAGTTATCTGCTGGATAATGACTGATTATGACGCGGGACAGTGAAAACCGCGAAGAAGCTGCCTCACCAATGTCGCCTTATCTCTGCACAATAGCCAGCTGTTTGTGAAGGTATTTTGTTGACAAAGTGTAGGCGAATTGAGTCGGACTGCTTAGGGAATTAGGGTTTTTTAGTAAGTCCCCCTTCTCTCCCTCTTATCATTCTTCGTTCCGTGGATCAACATGGTTGTATGGAAGCGAAGCATCAGTTAAAATGGCTGATATGCTGCTGTTGATGGTGATGACGACGTCTAGGTAGACCATTGAATTCATTGAGTTGTGGAGGGCAGATGGAAGAGGGAGGTCCCATTTCAGCCACATCACCTTCAGTTCGGAATACGAGCAGATATTTCGTTGCGGCAAGCAGTCCTAAGGAGACTAGAGCAGTCGTAGCAAAACAGTGCGATCCTGCTGTCTAACGTAAGCCGCTCGAAAGTTTCGTTAGACTGGGCATTGACAACGTTTGCCGGAATACGGTTCTAGGCGTGTATCACTGGGAAGGATAGGGCGACAGCAGAGTGAACATGGAACCCCTCTTTTTAAAAAGCTTCAGAACGCGATCTCATGTGGAGCATTCTGTGTTGAGCTGGAAAGACTGTTGAGTATGTTTCCAAGTTCTCGCGTTAGTATGCGCCTGTTGAAGATGAGATCTCCGCGGCAGTAATGGTAGTTCATAGAGAGGAGGTTCATCGGTTGGAGCCGAACGAAATAGGAATGGTTCACAAATCCAAAGACAGTCTTCGAGCAATGTCTATGGACCTTTTCAATCAGGGTACTTTCCAGCCTTGAGAGGAGAAAGACAGCTGACAAAAGTGACCACTTTGTTGTATTGTTTCTACGGGCACGACATCTCACTGTTAACGACAAGAATTGTACCATAGGGATAACTGGCGTGCCGACCTCACTTCTAAGATCGACTGCAAGTGTACTAGACTGAAACGTTCCTGAACACCTAGGACTCGGTGATGCCCAGAAAGGACATCCCTCATTGAAAATATAATATCAGCTTATAGAGGAAGACCGTTTTCCGAGGTTACTCCCTGGTTTGATCTAGAACTGAGGTCCCTGATGAATTAAAGGGGAAGTCTGCAAAGCATATTCAAGGTCAACCAAGCAGCTTTAGTATGACTTCAATACAAAACAATTAAAAACTTATGCACCGCGAAAAAACGTAAGACGCCACAACCTTATAAACACTGCTTGACTAAACAGTCAATAACTGCTCCTAAAATGTGCTTCTCTTAGGCAAAAAGAAATAGCAAAGTCGGCAATAGTGTTCCAGCCCCGTCTTTCGATATGACGTTGTACTCCACGACGATGATGCTAAATCTAAACTACATGCCACGCAATATACTTCAGTCTGCTCGATCAAGATACCGTTCCCCTGGGAATATGTGCATCCATCCCCTCTCCCTCTCCTCCTGTGTCCATGGAAATCAGTACAGAGATGCCTACTTTAAAATTGGATTTTGGTTCCTCGTCGGGTCAAGATGGATTGCATCCTCTTTTCCTCAAGACCCTGGCCGAATACATCGCTACTCCTCCGTGTCCGTTATTTCGGCTCTCTTAGTTGGAAAGTGGAATCATGAGGCCCATATAACAAAGGTGGAGATAGGCAAGATCCTGTTAACTACCGGCCGATCTTCTTAACATCAGTTGTTTGTAAAGTCATGGTAAAGAATCTTACACGCTGTGTTTAACAGCCCTTAGAAGATCTAAACGTTATCACGCCTGCTCAGGAGGACGCGCTCCTGCATTACAAATATACTCGTCACTAAGGAAAAGTAGACAGAAGAAAAGGTTGCGATATGTTAACATTTCGATTACTCTCATCAGTCGCAAACGTAATACATTTGGGTAAAAAATAACGTATGTGCATGTGGAACGAAATTATACGGGTAAGTCAAAGTTGAGCAATCAAGACCAAGGCAATCTGATAGATTGTCTCGGTCGCTTTTACGAGCACAGGACCGGCTGGTTTACTGCAATCAGTAATGCTTCGCTGACTGCCAGCATTTTCGAGTTGCGGTTGATCAATAGCACTTTGAACGCCTTCGATGGATCCACGTGATGCCCTGTCATCAAATGTTTTATAATAGACGAGGCGGAGTTCCGGCTCTCCAGTTGATCCTTCACTCCATGTTGTACCATGGATAGCTTCAACTACTTTGGGAAATGCTCAGCCACCATTTGCGTCCGTCGCCCGTCGGTCCTGCCTATATAGACTTCACCGCAACTGCAGTTGAATTGGTAAATAATATGAGGCCATACCGACTAACGAACTGTCCGGATGGTAGTTAGGCTAAGGTCTCCGTGTTGTGTGAAGGATCCGTAGACACGCCGTCGTATAAGTGCGCGTTACAGCAGACCTAAGGTTATGAGCAATTTCATTTAAAACATTGTCCCCTTTGAACGGCAGAATTAAACAGACATCATTTTATTCACCGTTTGTACTGGTAGCTTCTCTTTGGTGGGTCATCCTGTGTACCGCAATCATCATCATTATCATTATAAACGTCAGTTAGAGGTGGGAAAGACCTCAGCTACTGTGCTGCAATACATAAAAGAAAAGGAAAATAAATACAAGAGTTCCATCCCAGCTGAGCTACCAGCAACGGATGGGCATCGTTCCGGTAAGCTACCAGCCGGCTCATCATCATAATCAATATACACGTCCGCTAGAGGTGGGAAACACCTCAGCCGGCTACCAGGCAAAAAGAAAAATTATTGTTTTACGATAAGAAATGAGATCGTAGATGGAGGGGGAGGCTAAAAGGGATGGGGACGGACAAAGAAACTCACAGCACGAACGCCACTGAGAACGGCTCCTTGCTATGTCAGCAAGTGTATCCAGCCAAACGTGATCATCGTCTTTGAGACTCCAACCAGGGAGCCGTGATGCTCCAACCAAGGCCAGCTCAGAAGTGAGGGCCTTCATTCCTGTGGACCAAGTCATCGCTTGGCCGCCCCTCCTCTTCTTCCATCCACATCGCCGGTGGGCAAACAACGCACGTCGCGGAAGCCGGTGGGCTGGCGTGCGCAACACGTGGCCCAGCCATCGGAGCCTGGTGCGTGAAATGACGGTGCTGAGCGGTTCAGTTCCTTTTCCTGGGCCGTAAACAAGGAGTCGAACACGCTCGTTACTCACGCGGTGTTCCCACCAGATGTGAGCCAAACCGCGAAGGCACCGATATTCGAATGTAACTAGCCTCTTCATGTCCGCCGATCTTAGGGGCCAGGTTTCGCAACCGTACAGAAAGGTCGAACGTTCTGCTGCACTATACACGTTACCCTTCAGGGCGAGAGTAATGTTGCGCCGCCGCCATAGGTGGCGAAGGTTAGCAAAAGCACTTCGAGCTTTTGCTATACGGTTCGTGATCTCGTCTTTGATCCCAAGGGTGCTGATACAACTTCCCAGGTAATTGAATTTCTGAACGACTTCTAGCTGATTCCCACCAAGGGTCAGCACAGGGGGCGATCCCTGCCAATCTTGGAGGAACGCTTTGCACTTCAATGGTGCAAAGCAAAGCCCGAAGCGACTGACAGCCAGTGCTAATCTGTCCAGCGCGGCTTGGCACGTCTGGGAGCTGTCACAGATGAGGGCAATGTCGTCTGCATACTCCAAGTCAATAAGTCGTTCTCCTGGGAGTAACTCCACACCTTCCAAGTCATGTCCTGTAAATGCAATCTCCATGACTTTGTCAATAGGGAAGTTGAAGAGGAAAGGTGACAACGGGCATCCATTTTTCATGCTGCTGGAGATATTGAAGGGTGGCGACAGTTTGCCGTAAGCCCACATTCTGCCTGTGCTACGCGCGTGTAATGCTCGGATAATACTTACATA